TGTGTGTGTGTGTGTGTGTGTGTGTGTGTGTGTGTGTGTGTGTGTGTGTGTGTGAGAGAGAGAGAGAGAGAGAGAGCGAGAGAGCGAGAGAGCGAGAGAGAGAGAGAGAGGGGGGGGAGGAGAACAAGAGAGAGAGGAAGATGAAGTGAAAAGAAAACAGATAGGAGTGGAGAAAGAGAGAATGAGAGTAAGAGAGAGAGAGAAAAAGAAAAAGAGAATGAGAGAGAGGAGGATAAGAAAAGAAATAAGTAGAAAGAAAGATCTGCTGGTTATGAAATAAATAGATGTTTTAACAAACAGATCTAACGCTCATTGAAACACTGTCAGGTTATTTAAGCGGCAGGACCTCTGACTTTAACATTCATCTCCAACAGAACCGAGCCAAAGGGAAAATTCGATTAAAGTGCTTTTCTTCTTCTTCTCGATCGAATCACACTTGAAGTCAGGTATGTGTCATAAATTGTGTCTTGCAGTGCTGAAAGGATGTGTTCAACAGTTTGGTCCGCCTCTCCACACAGACATTTTGGTGATTGTACTTGTTAAAATAAAACATCTGTACATATGTCGTCTCAGTCTTGTGTTTTGGGTTCTTAGTCGGAGAGTAAAGTGACTTTTCGAAGGACAAAAAGTCGGGCCGAGCAGATAATCGAACCCACGGACTCGCGATACCATGACTGCCAAAACCACAAGACGACCATCGCCACCATGGATGGATGAATGAATGATTGAACAAATGGTTGGATGAATGGATGAATGAGTGGACGGACGGACGGATGGATGGATGAATGGGTGGATGAATGGTTGGACGGATGGATGGATGGATGGACGGATGAATGGGTGGATGGATGGATGGATAGATGGATGGATGGATGGATGAATGGATGGATGGATGGATGGATGGATGGATGGGTAAAACACTTAGTGGCTTGAGTAGAAGCATATATGAAACTATAGAGATTACTATTATTAATTAAGCTCTTATCTATGCTTACTATCCAATACGCATCAATCATTGACAGAGAGACTAGAAAGCGAAACCAAGTTTGTTCTTATTAGTATTATATTATCTCTCCTGGACTCAGCATCACAACTTGATGTACTACATAAAGCAATGGATAGCAATGCATCCCTGCTCATCCCCATATTGTAAGCAGTAAATGATGGTTGAATGGTCGGAAGAGCTGAAAGATGTTCCAGACAGAGAGAGAGGTTCTAGAAATGATTATTATATTATCATTAATGTCGTCTGTGGTTGCCTTGAGATGTGTGTGTGTGTGTGTGTGTGTGTGTGTGTGCGTGTGTGTGTGTGTGCGTGCGTGTGTGTGTGTGTGTGTGTGTGT